TATAGTGTATGTTTGGTGCGGTAGGGGGCCCAACCTCATATTCTTTCATAGGTTTTAACTGTGTTTATCATGATTTGATGTTACTGATTTTGATAATGAACAAAAATTTACCTCTGCATCCTAACTCTAGCTACTATCAAATGTGCGTTTCTAAGAGACAAAAATATATTATATTATTATTATTAATATTATCAGGCAACCCAAACCTTTTTCTTGATTTGAAACAATATCACTCATTAGAACATGCAGAAACTAAGAAATAAATTTTTCTATTTACATATTTATTTTGTTAAATCATTATAATGAGCCCAAATTAATGGTCTGGTTTCTACAACTTTCCCTTTGGAGTAAAACTCTGTCTTTAAACTTGAAGTAAATAAATATTTGACATTTATCGTGATAATTATCTATATCGACTGATATGAAAAAAATTATCGTGATAATTTTTTTTGTCCATATCGCCCAGCCCTATGTACCAGTGGCGTTCCGTCCATATAAGCTGCGAGTGCTCTGCATACCCAGGTCATCTGAGAGAATGAGTTCACTTGCTAGTTAATATAAACATGATTATTATTTGATCCCTTGTCATTTGAGATGTAACTTAAAGCTTAATAAAGTGTTGGAAATAAGTACATAAAATTATTTATTTGACAAACAACGGTAATATTCTGTGAATCAATGTCAGTTATGGAAGCTTCCGGCCCAGCAGATTCTCCACACCTTTGGCACCTCTGCTCATATACATTACCATTCTTTTGGGGTCAGTAAGATTTTTAAATGTTTTTGAAAGAAGATTTGAAATAGAACTCATTTGCAACAACAACAACAAAAAAATTACTAAAGCATTTCACTACATGAAAATTCAACAGCGTCTGTCTTGACTCTCATACGTGCAAAGACAAGAAAGGATTGTGAAAGAAATGATATTCTTAGTGTTGATTTATTTTTATGATAGCAGCAAAATCATTATTGATATACCACAATATCAATACATTGACAAATGTAAATTTCAATCCAATTCACATTTATTTATGTGAACAAATATCACAAATATCAACACTTTCACAATACTTTCACAAATATCAACAAAAGATGCTAAATTTTGCAATGTTGTTTGGACCTAATAAACAGGGGATGTAGCATTAAATCAAGAAGTTCCTTTTAATCTCTTTGGGCCCCAGTGTGCACTGTAATATCAGTATATGTTCAATATTTTGTTCATCTAAATTATTAAGCAGCACCCTAATTGAAATGAAACCTCTTAAGTGACTTTGAACAGACAGAAAATTGCTTTCCTCATGCAAAGCACACAATAGACTTGTTGACCCATAATTAATTGCAATAGAGATTTATTCTTTGTTCTAGTGTAGAATGATTTGGCACACACACACATATTGTGTAAAATAAAAAAAATTTTAATGATACTTACCTGTTTATATCGATACTTGAAATTAAAGTATGTCTATAATGCCATCTTGGATTAATTGCTTTACTGAGGACATTGTGGGATTGTCCTCTCTTAAAAAAGATACATGTGACACTGCCTTAGAATGTTGTCAAAATAAGTTATCTTAGAAGGTAATATAATGTTGACAACTTTTGAAGCAGTCTTTGCATCCGGAGCATTCCGTTCACCCAAAACTAAATATTCTGTCATCATTTACCAAACCTTTTGAGATGTGTTTTTTTTTTGTTTTTTTTTTAATGGATGTCAATGGTCACCAAAACTCTTTGGTTATCAACATTCTTCAGAATAACTTCTATTGTGGTCCACAGAAGAATGTAAGTCATACAGGTTTGGAACGACATGAGGGAGAGTAAATGAGGACTGAATTTTCATAAGCAGACAGTTCACTAGGTTTTGGAGCAGATCTTTGGTTTTGATGTTTCTCTTGCAGATGCAAGCGAACACAGGAAAGAAACACAGCATGACAATATCAGGAAGACACCTTTGAAGTACAGTGAATACAGATGAGCTTAACAGCAGGATTACTGCACTTAATTTAGAAAGCAATTATTGCTATAAAATGTATAATCTTTCATAATCTAACATAACAGTATTACTTCATGGCATTACAGTTATCAGTTTAAAAACAGCATGAGAAAACATCACTGCTAGTACAACCCCTGTGATTAATTCAGAATTGTTTTTTGTCTTCTTTTTCATTTTAAATCCCTAGAAGGGTTTAGTGTATACAAAAGCTTGTCACCTCACTAAAGCAGAGAAGGGATCAGAGGGAAGATACATGCGTGGGAGTTTAATACTGAAAAGATCAGACCACATATGTCACAGATTGTGGCTTCAATCAGGGTTTTCAGCCAATGGCAGGTGTCACTGTCTAGGCTTGAAGGGTTTTTAGTATTGTTAAACAGTCTTCTGGATGCATTCTGACGTTCATGCCTACGAAAACATTATTTCTCGGAGCAAATTAGTTTTTTTTGATCAAGTACATCTGAGGTTGCACATCTTTGAAGTTCTGAGGAAACATCACATTCTGCATTTCTGAACTTAGAAAGGAGTAGGATCACAGAATTATGATCTCCAGCAAGCTGCTAGTGTTTCGGGGCCCACGGGGTGCTCTGGTCACAGAAACAGTTCAAGAGAGCCGACGGCGCAAAAAGTCGTGCGCTGACCTGTTTCAAAACGGTTACCGTGTGAAGTTGGGCCCAGGCCATATAGGAGATGGCAAAGAGAGTGACAACCAGAGCTCTCTTTTTTTACTGCCTCCATGTACTGTCTGACTGGGGTAAGACATCCTTTCTTAGGAACTTAGTATTAGTTTAAGACTGCATTTGCAGAAACTACGCGGTTATAATTTTTCACTTGTTTACCGTGTAAGAAGTTTGTTGGGAGTTTATTGCAGTGTTTTTGTTTCCTATTGCTGAAGATAACATCAAACTTGAAGTAAAAATATTTTTGCAAAGAGAAACTGGTGAATCCCGTCAGGAAGCTTTTTGATTCATTTTTGTACGAATTACAGCAAGGCTAAGATGGTGTGTTTCTGAATAGATGATGTTTTTGAGGCTGAAGGCAGGGAAAATGTTGTTTATGTAAGAAGTCTGCTGAAGCTGGTGATATTGTTCTCTAATCTGCTTCCTGATGCACTCATTTCAGCACCTACATCTTTCTCGCTCTGTCTCTCTCTCTCTCTCTCTCTCTCACACACACACACACACACACACACAAACATGTGATTGTTCCATGGTTCTTCTTTCTCTACTCGAAGCCCAAATAAATGTCTCAAATAATACATGCTTAACATCTGATTGAAGTTTATAACAAAAAATGTAACATTAACATTATTTTTTACACGGTTGAATCTCACAAGACATGTCAAGTATGGTACATATTTCAAAAGGTATGAGAAACAAACAATATTTTTGCTAGTAAATTAGTTTTGCTTAAAAAAAGCTTAATTGTCATGGAAATTGTGATTGGTAATGTTTTCATAAGTTGTCTAAATGCAGTATGTGCACACTACACAAAAAATATCTGGATGAGCTGCTGTATTTGCCAGAATGTGCAGAACTGAGTATACTGCATGAAATATACATCCACTTTGAGAAAAAAATTAAATGGACTTTTTATTTGTGACTCATTATTTGATTGAGCTGCTAAAATTGAATCAAATTATAAAAAAATTAGTATTACTTAATTTGTTTGTGTTAATAAATGTGTGTAATATGACCACTGAAGCAGGTTTCTACTGTTTGACATGTTCCTCATTGCATTCATTGCATACTGTGTTGTTTCACATACTATTTTTGAAGACTCAGTTAACTAATATTTAATTAGTTATTAAATATTAACATTATTATTGTGACTTTTCATAACTCTTGAGGCAATCCTCCTATTTGTGTAAAGAAAAAAAAAAAGCTATAAGCAGTTATACATATAAAATGTACATTTTAAAAAACTACTAATGACTCTCCTGTCATCACCGACTACACTTAGCAAGTAGCAAATCATGGCTGTGGTGTAAAACTAAAACTAAAGCCAGAAACAAATTGTTTGGAATTTCAGAGCAAGAAAGAAAACGGAGCTTGTCAGTGCCAGTTATTACCAATTATGGGTTCTTTAAAAAACTGAATGTAGAATCCAATGTGCAGGAATCTGGTGTTCCATTTTGAACACACAGATTGCTTTGAATAACAGTCGATCCTTTTTATTGATCCTCGTCTGCTTTTCTTTTTTCTCTTGCAGGTCTGAGGTTTCTAAGAGCCTTGAGATTGATACAGTTCTCAGAAATTTTACAGTTTTTGAATATCTTAAAAACAAGGTAAGGCCGACAACATATCACGCGCCTCTCTCACTCTGTTTCAAAAGCTCCACTCCGCTGGTATCAACACACACAGTCTCTATAGCTCCTTAGGAGTCTCCGGTGTCCCTTCCATCGCTTTCCACACACCTCTGCGGCTTTGACCCAGAAGTCTGCAGGGCTCGTAGCTGAGCAGAATGTTTAACGTGTGCATTTAGCATGCTGTAGGTAAGAGATCAGGGCCACCCTCCAGCCTGATGAATGCAGGAGTGTGAAGCAGAAAGGCATCTGATTGATTCCTCCTCAGAAAGGAATTGGAGAAAAAGCAGTCAGCACCCAACTCAGTGGTTGTAAAACTGCTGGACGTTTCATTTATTTTAGCTGCCGTCTCGTTTTTCAGCTGGGGGAAATTGCTTAGATATATCACACCGAACTGACACAGCTGTCAACAGGACGTTACATTTGCACCACGGTATTTTATCTCATTGCCTGCTATAGAAGGGGCGTTCACATTGATGGTGATTTGCAGTGATCGGAGATAATTTGTATTTTTGTGAGAGTGCTGATTTGAGGCGACATGAGTTTAGTGCAAAATTCACACCACCGTGGAACAGATACCGAAATTCAATGTAAATGCTCCTTTAGACTTAAAAGCTCCAATATGCGTCGGTCATCCTCGGGATCCCACTGTCTTCTGATTTATTTGCTGATAACCTATGTGTTCACTCCCAGCGAGCAGCGTCAAGGCAAGGCATCACTCGTGTGTGTGTTGGGCTCAGTAGATGACTGACTGATCTGTACGTCAGTGTGATGTGTTTCACTTTGAGAGGTGTGATGTAACTCTCGTCTCTCACAGTAATTCCATCAAGCTGGTGAACCTGTGTTCCATCTTCATAAGCACATGGCTCACTGCTGCAGGATTCATTCATCTGGTGAGTGAAAAAACACACACACGCTCCCCTCTCTCCCCATGCCCTGGAGAAATGACACAGAAAGGAGAGCACATGCAGATTCGTGGGAGGAAAAAGCTCCTAAGCGAGCGTCACGTCTGTCCCTTTGTGGCATATGTGGTTTTTGTTGTCGTTCATCTGAAGGTTTGGTGTTTTGTGGTTCTTTTTTCGTGTTTTTGTTTCGTTTTGTTTTCATTAGAGGACATCTGTGCCACTGGATGGCAGCAGAGACTCTGATCACCACTAAATCCTCAGTTTGGTTGCTCTCACAATTCATCCTTGTGATTTTCTGTATGGACAGTAGATGGCTGTAGAGGATCGTGTTTTGATCTGTCAGTAATTCACTCTTCGCTCTCCTTCCCCTGGCAGGTGGAAAACTCAGGGGATCCATGGGAAAACTTCCAAAACTCTCAACCGCTCTCATATTGGGAATGTGTGTACTTATTAATGGTCACCATGTCCACGGTGGGATATGGAGATGTCTATGCAAGAACCACTCTTGGACGCCTTTTCATGGTCTTCTTCATTCTCGGTGGTCTGGTAAAATCACTTTTCCTCTTGTTGGCACTCCTGCACCCCTCCCCTTCCCCAATGCAAACAACTACCATCTAAAAAATCACGCAGAACTCCTGTGATTTGACACTTTCATAACTGTTGTCTTTCCACAATTATAACACTGTTTTTACCATACCACAGTCTTCATGATAGCTCAAATTATAACACTGTTTTTACCATATTGTATATGTCCATTGTCTTTGTAATGTTTACTCCCCTGCCGTTAAGATCCATTACCTTGTTTGACCATTACAGCCCAAGTTAAGATGAAATGTACATGCATTTTGTAAATTTTTGTAGATGCTGTATACCCCTCATTATGTTTATTGCATTTAAATGAGCATTTTAAAGAAATGTATTTTGACAATAATATTGTTGCTATTCTCTTAAAACAGTTTTGCGGTTTCAGGAGATCCCATCCTTCTGTTTCCCTCCCCGAATTCCAACAAACACAGTGGCAGTCGGATGGCCCATAGTCCTGCTTGAGCGTCACCATAGCAACAGCAGCCAAAAAAAACTCTCTTATAAGTGCATGTACAGCAGAGTAACTTCAGATGAAGATACTAGAAAATATACATAGAAATAACAGATAAAGACTAGATGTTTATGTTTTGCAGGAAGTTTTTGGTAAAATTATTTACAAGTGGAAAATGTCAGTTTTGTCATCAATCAGAGAAACCGTTACTTCAAATAGTTGATTGATGGCAAGAAGTAAAATACCAAAATTGATACCAACTATTGAAAGCAATGGGTTAGATTAGGTAGAATAGTTCCTTACGATCACATTTTACAGTGAATCATTTTTGAATAATGATGTCATTTTGAAACTCGTTCATAGAAACAGTTTAAAAGAAATGACTCATAAAAAATATTCAGATTCAAGAATCAATATATATTGCCTAGCCTTAGTGTTTAGGTGGTTAACAGACTCAAGATCAAGGTATAGATCATCCACAGGCATTTAGAAGGTCTCATGTGAAGCTTATATAGACATAATGCAGGACAGATGTGCTTCAGTTCTATCACTGGACACAGAAAGTTCCAGCTGTCCAGAAGTTTCCATAGCAATCTGCTATTTCTTTTTGTTTTTGAGGAGGGCTGGAAATAATCACTGCTCTGCTTTATATCAGGTGTTCAATTAATGACTTCAGTATGGAAATGTTGTAAACCGTCAGATCTGATCAGGCAGATGTCATAATTCATCAGGGCCCTAGAGAGAGGTGAAGAACCTCTCACAACTCTCTTCGGGAGGTCAGGCTGACAACTCGGGGATTAAGATCCCTAGTAACACACATAGCGTGGAGATAAAACAGAACTTTGTCAAGGCTGCAATCTTGCAAAGTGCATCCAGCTCATTTGAAGCACACTAATGAGTCTTAATGTGCTTTGCAGCTGTGGGCGATCAGGCTGGACTATTCAAATCCACTTGCCACTGCATTAGTGTTTGTTGGACAAAACATGGCATGTAGGTTTTTTTTCTTCTTTCTCTTTCTTCTCAGAAGATGTTTTTGTGCTGTCAGAGAAAATACAGATGGGCAGCACGACAAACTTTTTTTTTTAATTGTCTCCAAACCAGTGGAGTGTCTCCAAAGCAGGCCTTTTGTCCATTATTCCATTTTCCCCTCAATTTGAATTTTTTCAGATCTTTTCAGAAGCACAATGGACATTTTTAGATTTCTAAAATATTATTTATTATTTTAATAATAAAAAAAAGACATATTACCAAGCTACATCATTTTGTTTTTGGAGTAAACAGATGTCAATTTCTGCACCTCAGAGGTTGGGGGAAAAAAAAAAAGTTCAGACTCGGACGGGTCTCTCCGCTCTCTTTTTTAGCCTCTGCTTCTGTCTCCTATCTTCTCCTTAGGCCATGTTTGCCAGCTACGTCCCTGAAATCATAGAGTTAATAGGAAACCGCAAGAAATATGGTGGTTCCTATAGTGCGGTAAATGGCAGAAAGTAAGTATTCCAGGTGCCTCTGTGGCTTTGGTCACAGCAGAACCCCTCTTTGCATGCACTTTTCTTTTTCTGTTCCATGCATGTAGGCCATGTTTGCTCGCTACGTGCCAGAAATTGCTGCTCTCATCCTTAATCGGAAGAAATACGGAGGGAGTTATAACTCAGCACGAGGCAGAAAGTAAGTCAAAATCCAGAACCAGGTGTGGTTGTGTGACTCACACGCCCCCGTCTCAGATAGAGAGGGGGTTAGTGCAGACAAAAAAGATAGGACGTATGAATGTCACACTGTGACTGGAGACCTTGGCCATCGAAGCCACATGTCCATGCCCTTTGCTCTGTGTCTGTGGCTTCTTTTCCCTAACGCATCTGCTGCATTTTAATTTCATTACAGTGACTGTTGCTTTTCCATCCGTTATGTGCTACTGTAGAATCAGTGTTTGTTTTGCATTTGAAATGAAAAGAGCACAGTGAATGATAGAAGATCACTAGTTTATACTCGGATAAAAAAAAAAAGAAAAAAAGGCTGTTCACTTAGTGTCATCATTGTCTTGTGTTTGTTTTAGTTTTTTGTTCTCTCGAGTTCTGCTCATCATGCTTGACCCATCTCTCGCATGCTCTCTGTGAATGGACGTATGTTGGCTTTTTAGTTTGCATGCTGCAGTGAGAAAAGCCTCTCTGGCTGTGCGTCACTGCTGGCCCTTCACCTCATCTCTGTGTGACACGACTCTGGCCCTGATCTTCAGTCAGCACACACCCTGAATGCCTGGATACCTCAGCTCTCGCACTGGAGCTGCTCCATTGCAATTGGCTTGCTTTTTTGCCCCGCTTGGTACTTTTACTATGTCCCGTTTTTTCTTTTCCTTTTCAAAGATGACCCCTGAATGTGAATGTGGATATTTTGAAACCCCCCCACTTGTTTCTGGCTCAAACACGGCCCTGTCATCAGCACAGCGATTCTCGCGAACTCTCACGTTTACGTTCCAGAGCCCCCTCTATCTCTCTCGCACGCGCTCTTTCCCAACCCATTTCGCAGCGTGAAACAGGCCCACGGTCACGTCCGGCTTTCATAATCTGAATTTGAGGGCAAATACTAAGCCGGGAGAAAGCCATTAAGAGCCCCTTTGTTTGATGCCGTTTCGCTGTCAGTGAAACAAGATTGATGAAATGTTATGTTTGGCCTCAGCCCCACGTTTGGATTGGCAGTCTGGTGTTGAGAGAAGGCCTTGTCAAAAGAGCTGAGCCTCTCTCTTTTTCTCACTTTCTTTCTCTCTGGCTATGCTTGCATCTGGTTGCAATTACAGTAGGCTCCAGCTCTCTGGCCGAGCAGAAAGACAGGCAACAGGCTTCGCCTTATTGTTTAAATATACATGGGACTGTGTGCTCATGAACGGACACATCACGACACCTTGAAATAAATGTGTCGGGATATTTATTTCCACTGTCAGCACATTTCCGACAAGCTCAGGCTGGTGCAAAATACATACGTTTAGAGTGTAATTCTGCATAAACTCACAAATGTCCAAGAGCCATTTTTTTTAAATCCATGAGTAGGTGTTTATGAATAAACGTTGGAGGCTGCATAATTGATATGTAAACGTTGATTGTAATAATGTTCAGTGTAGAGATTAGCTTGACTTTAAAACAAAGAATTATGGATAATTTTAAATGCAGTCTAACAGTATTCTCATCATATTTGTAGGAACAACAGTGCAGCATAAAACCAGATTCTGTCTTTCTTAACTCCTATTTATATATACAGTATATATATATATATATGAATGTTGAATATGCAGTCACTTTCATCCCTTTGTTACCTTGCTAACAGGGTTCCAGATTGCGTCTATGACAGTAAATATGACAATAAAAATATAATAATTTAAAGTCTAATGTGCAAAACTTGAGGTGAGATATCGTCAGATTTTTTTCTTTTTTTCATGTCTGATTCAAAATGAACCAAGAAATTTAGTGAAGCCTGTAAGTGTGTAAAGACTAGATGACATGACTTTTTTTTTTCTTCAAACAATTAGAGAATTATTATTAATGAAACTGTTATGTTTATAATCAGTGTGGTTTGTGATGGACAATATATACCATATATATATACCATAAAATTCAAAAGTTTTGGGCTGGTCAGAATTTTTAAGAAATAAGAAATAATTATTTTTATTCAGAAAGGATGCAATAAATTGATACCTGTAAGTGACGGTAACAACTTTTAATATATATTGTTACAAAACATTTCTACAAATTTCAAATAAATCTTGAAAAAAAGTGTTACAGTTTCCACAAAAATATTAAGCAATGCAACCGTTTTCAACATTGATAATAAGAAATGTTTCTTGAGCAGCAAATCAGCATAATGATTTCTGAAGAGTCATATGACTCTGAAGGCAGGAGTAATATCACATAAATAAATAACATTTTAAAATGTATAAAAATAGAAAAGGGTTATTTTAAGTTATAATATTTCAGAATATTTTGTATGGTATTTTTGATCAAATAAATGCAGCCTTGTTTAGCATAAGAGATGTTTAAAAAAAAAAAATCTTACTGACCACAAACATTTGACTAGTAGTGTGTAACTATAATTGTAGTCATAGTCTGTATACTAAAGAGTCCCTTTAACACAGCACATAATTTTTGTTAAAAGTGTGCTCTCAGTGTACTGAAGTGCTTCTTAACAACCATCTTTATCAAGTAAATCTGTAATTTGTCAACTAAAAAAAGTAATATAGCTGTAATGTTTCTTTTTAGAGGCCATTAGCTTTTTAGTAATATTGTATTTATTTATACATTTAATTATTTGAGTCCTGACAGTACGGTCATGGTGTGCCGAGCCTAGCAGTAATTTGAAGTGTAATCTCTGCTATTGAAACCATGCAACAGCCAGGTTTGTGATGGCTGTTGATGTCAGCGTGTGTTCAGCGTAGCGTTTAACCATCAGAACAGGAACGCAGATCTGGATCTATGACTGTAATATAGAGCAGCGTTCTGTTGGATCAGGTCGGGGTCTCTGTGGTTTCCATTAGAGCACTGCTGAAACTGACGTAAACCCTGAGTGAACTCTGAGCTCATGCGCCGCCTCTGAGCTTCTCTCCAGAATCTAAGCCACACCAAGAACGTGGAGCCGGCACCGCTTGCCCCCACAGACCAGGCCTGTGTTGGCATCCACATGCATGGAGTAAGAGTTGAAAAGAGGACAGAATGGCATATAGAAATGCCATTACTGATATGCCTCTCACAACATATTAAAATGAGTGAGATCAATAGAGGTTCAGTCATCTGGTTCTCTGACTTCAGCTTAGGTGTGCGTGGAGAACTATCCATGCATAGCTGACAGTCTGATGACTAGTCTGTGATGTTGGACAGCTTACTGCATTGTCCTGCTAGTTATAATGCTGAAACATAACAGGATTTTGCATTTATATATAACCTCCTGGGACCCAGCAAAAAAAAAAAAAAAATTAAAAACAGAAAAATAGAAAATGTTTTAGTGTTTTAAATGAATGTAATGATTTAAATGTAAATGTAATTATGAAATAATGTTTGTGTCATGTCTTTGAAAATATACCTATACACATTCTGAAAATGCAGTTAATAGGCATTTCATGTAAATTAGTGGATCTCAACTTCGACTTAACATACATGATCCAAACTAGTTAAATGGATAGTTCACACAAAAATGAAGATTCTGTCATCATTTACATTTCATTCTGCGACTTACTTTCTTCTGTGGAACACAAAAGAAAATATGTAGAAAAATGTCTGTATGTAATTTTTTTTGTCTTGTTTTTTAGTGATTTTTAAAATATCTCTTTTACTGAAAGAACTGAAGAAAGTAAATTATACAGTCAGTATTATTTTTAACAAAATCTAAACTTTAAAAATAGTTAATTGAAAGAAAGCTAAAATAAACTAGAAATAGCCTACTAGACAAAAAAAAAAAAAAAAAAAAAAAAAAAAACCAACAAAAAAAAAAAAAAAAAAAAAAACTTAAATGGAGATTAAAAATGTTGCATGTTAAAAAAAATTAAAAATGCATTGGCAACTAACTGAAATATACGGAGCCCCACATGTGACATGCAGGGGGGGGGGAAAAAGTTAAATTGTGCGCATGACATAAGTAGTTCCCTCGTTTTACTAAATCGTGGCCATGTTTTAGTTGAATCAAATTGAGGGAACCAATTATATTGTGCGCGATTTAATTAAAACGAGGGAGCAAGTTAGTAAATTGTGCACACATGAGGTATGAGGTATTATGTCGTGGACACGATTAGCTTTTTTTTTCATGCATGTCATGTGCTGGGCACCATACAAATAAAATAAGTTTCTGTAAAATGTAAGTAAAATGAAGCTAAAATGTAAGTAAAAATAGAAAATAAATAGAAATAATAAAAATAATAAAATGACAGGTACATAAAATTATAAAGCAAAACATAAAAATGAATTCAAAATATCATAATATAAATAATAAATTATATAATAGTGTATAAATAATACTAAAACAGTAGTAATGTAGGTTTGGAACGACATGAGGGTGAGGAAATTATGACATTGCCATTATTTGCCTTTTTGGATGAACTATCTACTTAAGTTCTCTAATATGTTAAAAGATGTTACAGATTTATTTATGTAATGTTTACTTTCTGGCTTTATTACACCAGAAATAATTTGTATAAATATGGACAAAAATGGATGTTCCTGACCTGTCTAATTTGTCAGTGTGTGTTTTTGAGTTTCTGTGAAACTGTGCATGTTTCATAGAAATCCCATGTTTATTTACAAGAAACTGTTTGAAAATGATTGAAAATATATAATTGATAATATAACTGATAATAACTCCTAAATATGTGATGTCTCTGTAAAGCCTAGAATGTATCTTTACACTTAGAGTTTAGACAGAATTTGGAAATCCTATTACCCTTCACAGAGCTGGGTCCCAGAAAGATAATTTAACTATATAATTGGTATGCAAACATTTGTGCCCATCAGAAACCACGCTGACTGGCCATGAGCACTGCTTAAATCTCTTTTAGTTCAGAGACACATGGAATATTGCGTTGATCATTTATTTGTGTGTTCATATTTCCTACAATTTAATTTGTCAAAATGCAGGTAGCAGGTAATAAATGAGTAGACGATGTAAAACAAACCACACGAGAGAGATTAAAACTGACTTCTTGAGATGTGCAGCAGTTAGCCACCACAATAACCATATTTACCTATTTAGATTGCAGGTCAGTCAATATGTTTTTTAAAGGTCTGTTCTTAACTTTTTACATTTGGTACCCAGAGTGTTGAATATTTGGCTATTTCTGAGAAATACTCAGCTTTACAGCATATGTAGGGAAATTGCAGTGATATGACATAATGGAGTGTTTTTGAATAATTACAGTAGTTTAAGGAGGTGTTACTGGCTAAAGAGTTGCCAAATTAAATTCATTATTGTCCCCCTGCATCAAGTTGTTTATTGTAATGATGATGGAGCCCTGGCCCCATGTGGACTACACATGTGATCCATCTCAAGCTCTGTTCTCTCTTAGTTTGAAGACAAGGGCAGGCATGGACCCCTTTCATCGCACATCGTTCTCCTCACAGCTATCATTTGGACACAGCTTTTCCTAAAACATTAGGGCCTTTCGCACCGCGGGAACCTTTTCATAGTACCAGAACTAATTGTGGAACTACCCACTTTTTGAGCGCAGAAACAGACCGGACACTTTTTCGTTCGACTCAGTTTAAGGATTAGAGCAGTATCAATGGTTTCGCTGCTGAGGCTGATGTTCGAGCTTGTGGTTTTTAATTTCTTTTACATTTTGGTTGTGATTTCCATATTTTTGGTGCTTTATTTTTTCATTTTTATTCAGCATGATTCACAGTGCATGCTGGGTAACTGCCCTTCTGCATTTGCTTGCTCAGTTTGTGCACATTTTTTGTTTTATTTCACCTTATCGTGCGTAACATTGTGTTGTAGCCCAAGTGTTCTCTTCACTGTGTGTTGTTCACAGTATAGTGTTGTTAGTGTGTATTTTAAGTTGAAGACATCATAAATGTGTAGGTTTTAAGTTGTTTTTTTTCCACCAGTATTTAATTGTTTAAACATTTGTATATTTTAAATTTAGTTTTTTTTTCTTGTTAAAATGCTGTTTTTTTCATAGTAATTATTTATACTATTTTTAATACTATTTTTATACTATTTCTATTTTTGCTGAATAGAAAGTTCACAAAAGTTCAGTTGGGGTCTTACTGACCTTATGTATTACTGAGTGCACTTTTACGCAAGCACAGAAATAGTTATGAAGGTTTAGGCATCACGTAATGACATCAGTCTTATCTAATACTCTTTTGTATGATTTTACATCTTGTATTGCTTTCATTGGCGGTACCATAAACTTGAAGAAAAAAAACAAAACAAAACACCCCCGCAGTGGTGAAACACAATCAGTAGCACAGTCACGCACCACTGATAGCTCATCCAAACATGGAGACAAGATGTCTGACATAAACCGAGACAGAGTGTGTTTGTATCCATGCCAGAGACTCTGTTCTAGAGTAAAAAGAGTGAGGGCATTGTCATACAAAACTCTCTGATTTAACTAAAGCTCTCAAACGGGCATTTTTTGGAAATAGGAAAACATGAATAATGTGTCTCTCATCAAGCCACCCCTTTGCCAGACGCTGTTGGCTTTACACCAAGCCATCAACTGAGTCTTCTCATCCCAGGACAGTCATGCGTGCAATTACTACCACTCATTAAATACAAGAGGCCAGATCTGTGAAGATCATTATGTGTGATAGCATCCAGACACTGCACCCATAAAGCCTCATCGCGTCCCTCCGGCAAACAGAGATCCGCTTAATGTTTGCCCTGGATCTGAGCACAAATAAGCACCTCTCCTACAACTGAGAGTGTACAGGCACATACACCCAGTTACAATTAAGGTCAGCAGCCCCTGTTCTTTGTAAACTCATGAGCACATCATGTCTGCTGAGGAAAGAGAGAGTTAGTTTGGACAGATTTAGATTGATGACCGTGCATAGTTAAAGCTCTTGAGACTTTGACCACAGCAGTATTGGAGTAATCCAGTATGGGAAGTGAAGTGATCCGCAAAACCCCATGGCTAAAGCTCAACTCTTTAACCTCCTGTTGCATAGAAGCCCTGCTTGACAAATAAAGCATTGTTATTGTTCTGCAACAGTAATAGAAGTGGCCATTAAGTTGTTAGGATAGTAATGATGGGCCGTAATCTTTTATACGAGTCAGATCATTGCAGACATGAAAAAACTCTTGAGAACAACTTTGGTGTGTAATTTAAAGTGCATTAGTGTGTAGTTTGGTATATAGTTTAAAGGCTTAAAAACGCAACCTTCAGTTGAGGGATTTTTCTGTGACTCTTTCTGCAGGTTACATTGCTGTGCCAATAGGTGGCGACACATGACTTTCTTTGAGTCATTGAATCATTTACTAAATTGATTTGTTCAAACACACTGATTTATTCAGTAATGAAATATGGGATGGACTTTGAGTGAGTCCCTGAATCACTGACTAACGGCTGTTTTACACTGGATGTGCAAGCAGTGCGGAGGCGGCGCAGTAGCGGTGCATATGCAGAGCATGAGCAGCGCGCGCCCATTGTGCTTTCACACTGGCAGCGTTTGTCACGCGCAGCTGAACCACGGCTTGTGTACTGCAATACAGACGAGTATCGTCATTTCTGTCATATTTCCCAGCGTTCTCCTTCGAACACTGTGTGCATGAAAAATACTATAGTAATTTATAGTAAATACTATAGTGTTTTTGAACCATACTATAGTAAAGTGTATTATACTGTATATATTTACAACACTTTGTTAATGAATGCTACAGCATACTGTAGTATTAACTATAGTGAACTGATAACTGTAATAAATACTGTAGTATACTTTAGTTTTTACTACAGTAAACTGTAGTGTATTGTAGTAATATACCCTATAGTTGTAGAAAACTTAGTACAGTACTGGGTAAAGTAATTTGTTTATATTGCTATAGTTGTTATATTACCACAGTAACTATGGAATTACCACAACAAATTAATTCAAGTACTTTACTATAGTATGCTTCAAAAACACTATAGTATTTACTATAAATTACTATAGTATTTTTTCATGTGCTTTGATGTATGATATGGCCAGCATACTCCGCTGCGATGCGACCGTGTCCCCCTCCCCTCTGTCACACACACATATGTAAATAACATGCTGTATATAGGTAGTTTACATGATAAAAAGTAATCTTAAAGTTAACAAATGCCTCTAGTTTTATTAATTTAACAGACCTTTGAAGTTTGGGCAAAAACTCGTGGATGTGATGCGTTTTTGTGCATTTTATTTTTTCATACGGTGATTGTGAATTACGTAACACCTCACTTACATGATTTTATGGTGAAATTTGTTATTTTTCATGTTAATCAGGTCAATCTTGATCAAGAACAATACACTGTGGCTTTAATTCAGCGTAAGCGGCGCAGCAAAAATAGACTCGGCGCCGAAACGATTGCGGCACTGCCGCTTCTGCTCTGCTCCTGCTACGCGCTGCCGCTCTGCCTCTGCGTGCGGTGTGAATAATCTGTTAACATGAGCGCCGAAAATAATACGCGCTGCTTACGCATGCAGTGTGAAACCGGCGTAACAGATTAATTCATACTCGGATGTATTCATAAATTAAACAAGTGTCTTTTATGAGTGAGTCATTGAATCATTGACTAAACTAAATTAATTTAAAAATTAAACAAGTGAGTTTCTTCATGAATGAGCTTCTGAATTATTCACTGATTTATGCAGAAATTTAAATGAATGAGTGTCTTCACGAGTAAATTACCTGAATTATTTACTCAGCTGATTTGTTAAAAAATACTATTTTAATCAAAAATGAAACACTTGCATGTCACAGAATAACAATAAAACTGATTTGTTCAAAAACATTGATTAATTTAGGAATAAAAAATAGTGACTGTCTTTAAGAGTGAGTCATTGAATCAATTACCCAACCAACTTGATTAAGAAGACATACTCATTCAGGAATTTAACATCATTATTGTATATTGCTTGTTTAGCTTTTATTTTTGTTGGCAAAAATATACAACTGACTATATTGAATCTAAAATATAAGTTGCTCAATGTCAAGTAATTTGTTTATTGTACTGTTGTGTGATTATTGCTTAGTTCAATTATTGCATCCTTAGCTTTAGCTAATACATCACAGAAGCGCTGTTTGAGTGCTGCTGATATAGCCAGAAGATGTCAAGGAGGCTCACTACTAGGTTTTGGAACGGCTCTAGAGTATGAAACTAGATCTTACTATGGAGGCAGAATAAATGAGCCCCAGAAGACCGTGACCTCTGGAACAATCCAGTTGAGTCTGTTTGTTTGTTCCATCTGATATATTGCAAGTTTTTCATTCGGTGCCTGTCCGGAGAAGTCACGGTTAGAGTTCATGGCAGCCACAGATCCAAAAACAATTTAACCGCTTTTGACAGGGGTTCCGATACTTGTCAGTTTATTATTGATGTGCATGTCAGCATGCGTCCTAGCACAGGGGTGGTTTGGCTACAGAGACACGGCTTATTAAGAACATTTGACGATCCAACATTAAAATGTAAGATTCTATTTTGTTTGTCCTGAAAAGTTCAAAGCACTTCATTTAATGTTTTAAACCATGTTTATAAATATGAGGTAAAACAACATGTGCTGTTATGACTATAACGGACAGTGAATATTTGAAAGCCACAGCATTTAATGTTTTCAAGACATTTTTGGTTATTATGACTTTATGCTCCTTTTTAGGATATGCCAGAGTTTTGTTTTATTTTATGTTGCACTCTTCAGCTGAATTTTCCCCCTTACAGGCACATTGTGGTCTGTGGTCATATCACGCTCGAAAGTGTTTCCAACTTCCTTAAAGACTTCCTACACAAGGACAGGGATGATGTCAATGTAGAAATTGTTTTTCTTCATAAGTAAGTACAATTCCCTTTGGAATACTTTCTATAATCTTGATGGAGCCTTTCCGCACTGTAAAGAATATAATTACTGCATGTTACTAAGAAAAACACATAAATCAAATAGAGTTGCCTGTTTTTATATAACAAAGAGATCAGCCAGTAAGTTGTTTTGACATTCTTTTGTTAGCCGCTAGTGGCGCACAAATGACACATTGTTCCTATAAACTTAAAGCATTCTCAAAAAAGAATTCTTCTTCATTAGTGACACGCTTTCTTTTTTTTTGCCAAACTCTAGTATTTCCCCTAATCTTGAGCTGGAAGCCTTGTTCAAACGTCACTTCACTCAGGTGGAATTCTATCAAGGATCGGTCCTCAACCCGCATGATCTAGCAAGAGTAAAGGTAACCTCAGAAAAACTTAGCATTTCTTCCAGTTTGATCTGACAATTTAATAATCGGGATACAGATGCAGAATTGTACAGATATAGTAGATAATAATGTTAGCATATTTTTGATGTTTTGATGCTGTTCTGAACACTGAGGCGTCACCTCTTCTTATTCATCTTGTACAGATCGAGTCAGCGGACGCCTGCTTGATTCTTGCAAACAAATACTGTGCAGACCCCGATGCTGAAGATGCCTCTAATATCATGAGGTCAGTTCGGTGAAGGGTTGCGTTTGCTATCAACACATTTGAGCACATCTTATTTTAATGTTTGTGGGCAGCAGCATCATACACTCACTAGGGACATCCTCCTGTAAAAAAGATGATGTCTTTCACCCTCCTGTGCTGTTAAAGGAAGGTGTGAATGGGATACTCGGCGTCTCAGGTCAGATTCATACATGTTATACCTGGACACAGATGAAAGGAGCCAGGAGAAATTTCCTTTGGGACGGAGTCAAGTAATATTGCTCTGAAAACGTGTGTGTGAAGTGAATGCAAACATATTTCCCTTCCTCCTTTCATGCTGGAGATGTTCTTTAGCCATGAGTAACGCACAGAATTGCACCCAGGCTGGACTGTTTGGAAAATGAAATATTAATGTAGGCAGGTCTCGGAGTGCTCTTTTAAACTAATGTGTTATAGAGCAGCTTAATATGGAAATAAATTCTGCACCTCTCTTACGAGACTGGAGAGAAATCCAGACTGGATTTCACAGGGAAATCACACCGTTTCACCACATATCACAGGCTCCTCTATGGAAATGAAAGATTAATTTATTTTTTATTCATTCAGCAGATGCTTGTTTTTAATCCAAAGTGACTTACGATGGTGAATTGTGGGACGGTCCTCCTGGAGGTTAAAGGTGCACTCAGTAGGTTTTTGTTTATATGAGGGAGCGACCTGCTCCATGCAGAATAAAACAGATTTTTCTAGAAGATTAATATGTCTAGAGTCTTCGTCTCATGTTGAGTGTACATCATTTTAATGATATTTCTCAAAAGTGCCGCTCGTATACTACCGTTCAAAAGTTTGAGGTCAGTAAGAAAGAAATAATAATTTTGTTTAGCAAGGATGCATTAAATTGATTTAAAAAAAGACATTTAATTGTTTAAAAAAGTATTTAAAATATATTTTATTTGAACTTTGAAATCATCAAAAAATCATGAACATTTTTATCACAGTTTCCACAAAAAATGTTAAGTAACTTAAAATAGAAAACAGTTCACAATATTACTGGTTTTACTCTATTTTTAATCAAATAAATGCAGCCTCTGTGAACTTAAGAGACTTTTTTTTAAAAACATTAAAGAATTTTACCGACCCCAAACTTTTGAAGTGTATCTTTGTGTTGTTTAATAAGCAATAAATTACTGAATGCACCTTTAATCTAAATTTATACTTCAAAAGAAACAAACCAAGTTGAAAATTTATATATTCTATCTTTTTTTATTTTCCCCGCAAATGCTGTTTTATGTTGGCTTTAAATGACCTGTAAATTAATACAACTTCTTCTTTTTACAGAGTAATATCTATCAAGAACTACCATCCAAAGATCAGAATAATCACTCAAATGTTGCAGTACCACAACAAGGTAGGAAATTAAATTTTCTGTTGCTGTCAATTCAAATCAACAATAAAATTATCAAGACCTAAACAGAAGGAATACAAATAATGTATAAAGAGGCTATACAATTTATGGAAAAAAAAATCTGACATGTGGCAGATAAACATACCCTCAGATTCAGCTGTCCATGACAACAGGAATTTTATAAGTTCAACGGAATCAAATACAGTATGTCTACATATTTTTTTTCCCTTCAATGTTTATCCCCTATTACAGCAACATGAACGCAGCTTTGTATTCACCAGGGAGCGCAGAAACAGGAGATGGATGTTAATGACTTGATGGATGTTTTTTGTTCATGGGACAGTTCACTTGAGAGCAATTGAATGTCAACTGTAGACAACTGTTTTAGAGGACTGTCAGCAAACCCGCTGTGTTAGCAATGAGATATGAAATAGTGATGTGCTACTGTTATGAGATTTGCGTTATCAGTTTGACAGATTTATATAATCTAACTAGGTAGGGCAGACTGTGGACTGTTGTAACATGCTTTGTTTTGACAGTGTTTTCTACTGTACGTTTCAAACCTTAATATAATATATAAGAAGTTCGTGTTTATCTGCTACAAATTAGTTTTGATCTTTCACTTCTCCCTAAACTGTAAGAAATGTATTGATTTTCACTTTTTTTGCTGGTGTATTTCATTACTACAGTTGTTAGACTTCTCAGCAGGGGACATTGTTAACTTCCCCTTGTCTCGTCCCATGTGTCCTCAGGCCCATCTGCTAAACATTCCCAGCTGGAACTGGAAGGAGGGTGATGATGCGATCTGCCTGGCCGAGCTGAAGGCAGGCTTCATAGCCCAGAGCTGCCTGGCACAGGGCCTGTCCACCATGCTCGCCAACCTCTTCTCCATGAGGTCATATATCAAGGTACCGTCAGCCGTCTTGGGCCTTGATAAAACCCATAGAGTAGAATCAGCCTCCATCCCCACTTCAGCTCAATCACCAGAGCCATTATGGTATGGAGTAAATCATCTTCTGAGCCTGGCGGTCTCATTTGGGACCTACTCGGGACGGCAACACAGCATTGCCGCTGCCATTATGAGGTAATTTATATGAGTCAATGGCATGGTGGAAGTGAGGATGTAAATTAGTGGTTTTTCCTCTCGCTGAATTTACTGTCCTCCTGCGTGCCGATAGAGCGGGGAAATGCGAACCATGTGCCTGTTTCATAGTCAATGAACGGCACCCCAAAGCCATCTTTATTTATCGTCCAACTGAACCAGACTGCTCAGAGCCGTACGGATCGCTCTTTTTAAGAAAACACTAAATAAAATGGTCTGAGGCCTGAATGACTGCAGTGAGGTGGTGGGTTATTATCAGGTGGTTCAGATTTGGATGGAGCCCTTTGGAAAAACGGAGAGATCAAGAGAGAGCGTGAGTGTGCGATCAGACTGAAGAATTTCGCAGAGATTGTAAAACTTATTCTGAAATCCGCAAGGGGCTATATTTTACTCTCTTTGATTTTTTTTTCAAAACTGCACAGGCTTTCGACATGGAGAGCAGCATTCTCTTGTCATAAAGAGAAGAGGAATGACTTTATAATGACTGTTTAAATGTGGCATGTGCGGAAACATCTGCAGGGCACATCACTCTTCTCATAAAAACACAGAGGAGAGACAGCCCAGATCACCCATGCCAGAGTACAGCATACAACACAATGCACATCTAACCTCTCAGACCAATGTCCATGCTTACAAAAGATACCATGGTAACACCAAAAACACTTTCTATGACTCAAACAGGGCATCTGTTAGGGTGAAGAGGGAAGTGTATCAGTATTGTTTAAAATGCCAGGCATCTCTTAAATGAGTCTGATGGCAACAAACTGTGATACAGAGAAAAATGCTGAAAAGTTAAAGGGATAGTTCAACCAAAAATGACAATTCTGTCATCAATTACTCACCCTCACGTTGTTCCAAACCCGTGAGACCTTTGTTCTTCAGAACACAAATTAATTTATGGTCTGATGAACCAGGTTGAACCACTCTTGTCACAGACTATTTTAACTACTGTATGTCCTTACTATCTTTCTTGGCCTTGAACGTGGTAGTTGCTGTCTATGCAGGGTCAGAAAGCTCTCAAATTTCATCAAAAATATCTTAATTTGTGTTCCAAAGATGAACGAAGGTCTTGCGGGTTTGCAACGACATGAGGATGAGTAATTAATGACAGAATTTTCATTTATGGGTGAACTAACCCTTTAACATTATGTCCATTAGCTGTGCAATAGAAGCATTATTTTTCTTTCTTTTTTTTCTTTTTTTCTTTAGGTTTGCTGTAAAAAAGACTCTGTCCCAATACTACATTAACTGCCTTACTGTCTACTAGGGATGTAACTTTACACAAAAAATGATGGGTCAGTGTGTACCTTGGTTTTTGAAGTCAAAAACGAAACATAAAATTGCTTCTTTTTTATAAAAAAAAAATAACTGTTTCTGAGCAAATTGTTGCTCTGTCTTTAAATTCAATCATAATTACAATTTTCTTAAGGATTAAAAAAAAAAAATCTATCTCAGCTAATGTTGTAAATAGTGGTCGACTGATATATTGTGGTATATATAAATAGTGGTCGCCAAGGCTGAGATATCGGCTGATAATTGGCATTTTTCTTTTCTTTTTTGACACTTTTCTATATATGTTTACATGGTAGATTCTTAATCAGAGTATTGTCTTAATCGTGTTAAAATCGGAATATTGTTGTCCATATAAACATACTCAATGTGTGAGAGTGTAAGGGCGGTCTGTCTGCAGAAGAAGCGGGGTTAGAGAGGGCTAATTTGACTGATTTGAGTGGGCATTCAGGAAGCAGAGCAGAAGGGTGTTACCGAGGGGTGTTAATGAGACCCACACCCCAAGGACACACACATTCACACAGCCACAAACACATTTGCATTATGTTTGTTGTTCTAACTATAAATCTCTGATGTGTTGTGCCGTTCACTACAAATAAAACCACAAGAACGTTCAGCATGAATCTTTTATCTGGTCTCTTCAGGTTTAACAAAAAAAGCAGTAAGCAGAGGGCTTTTGGATCAGGCTCTCTAGAGAGACTGGAGAAAATAATTGTTCAGTGGGTGCGAGAGAACACGCCCGTAACACTTACATCAGCTCTGACAGGCAGGGCGCAAACGTGCGGGGTAATTTAGGGAGCCTGCGGTAAATGGCTGCCATCTCTTTAGGACTAAATGACAAAACTCTACCCATTAGTGCCGCCCTAAAGGATGCCTGCCCAGAATGCAAGTGCTCTTAGCCTGGCAGTGAGAAAGGGAGTCAGGCCTGGCTTTGAAAGTGTCTCTCTTGACTTTCTGTCAGACAGACATTGGCTGGGTGAGATGGCTGACTAATGGCAGAGTGTTTGCCTAATAGCCCCGCTGCTTATCACAGCCCCACCCACTCCACATTCTGAGACGCATGTAATGAGAGGATGATGAAGAGACCAGCGGTGAGCTCAGACACGGGAATATGCCTGGCCTTTATTCTCCAAGTCTGACAAAGGTTGAAATGTTACAGGTGTGAAAGAATGATAGAGCAACTTCAAAGTGTAAGGCATGTTTAAACTGTGTTTGGAATGAATGGCACTCATGATATGAGATGCACAATGCATCATTGTACTTATCAACCTTAGTCGGTAGATTCCATACTTAATTTGATGCACAGGAAAACAAGCTGTTTTCTACAGCTTTTTTTTCCACTTGAAGACTTTTTGAAAAATATGTTTGTTAAAGGATAGTTCACCCAAAAACAGTCATCAGTTATTTACCCTCATGTCATTCCAAACCCATAAGACTTAGATATTTTTTTAATGAAACACAAAATATTTCAGTACCTCCATTGAAAATCCATTACACCAAAACTTTAAAAAGTTCATAAAGTGATTGTAAAAATGAATCAAGCAATTTAATCCAAGTCTTCTGAGGAGACCTAATTATTTTATATGAAAAACACATTTATTTAGGCTTTTATTCACATCAACACACATACATAGACTACATCAAATATGGTAAACAAGCTTCATTGGTTTTTGTGTGTCTAACAAGCATGGTTGACTTTGCAATTACCATATTTGATGAGCTCTATGTATGAGCTTTGACCAGAGTTTTTATGTGAATAAAAGCCCACATTTAATCTGTTCTATCTCAAAATCTTCTGAAAAAAACACAATTCTTTATATAATATAAAGCAATTGTGCCTTTTCAGAAGACTTGGATTTAAATTAATATTTCATATGGATTTCTCTTATGATATATTCATGGTTTGGTGGAATGGATGTTTAATAGAGGCACATAAATCACTCAGGTTTCATTAAAAAAATATCTCCATTTGTTGATGGGCAAAGATGAGCAAACGTTTTATGGGTTTAGACATGAAGTTGAGTAAATGATAAAAAAAAATGTATTATTATTTTTGGGTGAACTACTAAGTCAGATATAATTTTTTGTAAAAATGTTTAGACATGTTCTGATTGCTGTCTATCCATTTCCATCAAATTAAATGGTGTCCTCCCTTACTGTGTGTATCTGAATCCAACTGTTTTTGCTGTGCAGATTGAGGAGGACACATGGCAGAAGTATTATCTGGAGGGAGTGGCCAATGAAATGTACACGGAGTACCTGTCCAGTGCCTTTGTGGGGCTTTCATTTCCTACAGTTTGTGAGTAAGTATGCTTCTGCTCTAAAGCATGGGAGCTTTACAGCACGCCGTTACTCTGTATACAAACACGCTGTAGTAAGTATCATAAAGGCTCTAATAAGTTATTTTTTAATATACTGCCAAATTTACTGCAAACTTAAACTATCACATGTCCTGACCAGATGTGATGTGATACATTTTCAGCGTCAAACAATTTGTTTGTCCACACTGAATGTGAAACTGTTGCTTGACACACTCACAGCCAGTTGGAACAAATTTGATATTTAATGTGAGGCAAGATTTTGAACCAATGACATTTCACTGTAATAGACTCTTCTGATTGCAGTAGATCAACATTAAATAGTTTTCAAAGGCCAATTCAATTGGTCTTACGAATTTAAATTGATGAATGATGACTTCTGGACACTAAATGTCTGTTCTTTGTTTCAGGCTGTGCTATGTGAAGCTCAAGTTGTTGTTGATCGCTGTTGAGTACAAGTCAGAGCAGAGGGAAAGCAGGTTTGTTCCCCTTCGGTCTTCAGCTCCACCATTCACAATACACTGACCAAAGAGGGGCAAAGCAGTTGTGTCCCTCATTGGTCCTACAGTATAGTTATCCTTTTTTACTTGCTAGACGTTGTTGTAAGAAAAGGCTGGCAGGTTTTCATCATTAAATCTCTCTGCAAGTAATCTAATCTGGTTTCAAATTGAAATCACTCTTATTGAGACAGCAGCATGTTACGTTCTGTCACTGGAGGAAGTTCGCCTCAGCTCGACTCTCACAGCATCACAGTTGCCGATCACTGTCTGTAAGAGTCACAGTGAAGCCAAAGAGCCATGACATCTGCTCAGACTCACTGTGCTGTATTGATGAGGGTTTACTCTCCGAGTAAAGGGCCTTCTATCAATAGCACTTCTGTGGGCATTCCCACATCCACAACCTGTGTTCCAATGTTTCTGTACACTGTAACTCTTACTAATACATTTTTGTGTACACAGTGTGTACTAATGAGTGTGGTTAAGAACACAAGTTGGCCTGAAAACACACGCATCAAAATATCAGCCTGAAGACCTGGTTATGTTGTTCCTTTTTTTTTTTTTTATAGGGATGGGCGGTATGACAGTATATATTATGGGCCACTAGAAATGTGTGTAAACATTCTGCTTCACTGTTTATTAGGGCTGGGTAAAAAATATCGATATCTCGATATTAATCGATTCTCATTTTTACGGAACGATATCGATTCTTAAATCCCAAGAATCGATTAGTCTAGCCTGTTTTCAGTTAATGGACGGAACATTGAAGGGCACTTCCCATCCAATATATCGCAATAAGCATTTTGCTTTGGTACTTTTAATATGAAACAAAGTCTCAGATTTCAAATTCTCTCCATTGTATTGCAGTATTCAAACAATAAATGCAATTTTGGCGCTGTTTAATGTGGAGTGACAGATCGCTGTAGCACCTCAGTTTAACAGACGTAGCAGCGCAGGCGCACGTGAACTAATCATCTCCTCCACATTAATACCAGTTTCAGCACAAAGTAATCCTGAATAAACATCCGAAGGTAAATTAAAAGAAAGAGTATAACTTAATCCGTATCCTGTCTCATGTAATCGCTCAATCAGTGTTTCAGCCGCGCAAAGACGTCAATATAACGGCTTGTAAACAGTGTCACGTAACGTCACATTTACCTCAGAAAAACATATTCGGTAA